TGATTTTTTTTTAAAGCGATAGTGACAATACTGGAATATTGTCGACAATGGTGCTAACAATTGTCACTACGACAAAATTGTCGCGACAATAGCGACAAAACTGAATAGCTCCTTTGGAATGTTTTCACAAGAGAATTTGTTTATATGGTAATTGCGCCCATTTCATCAGTTTTCAATAATTTGAATATTTCTTAAAACTAAAATAATCCAAATGCAAATATAACATATGAATTACATAAAAATTTGTTATGACAATGATAATTTGTCACTTTTTCAATGGAATTTCTCATGGGATTGAAGCGGTGGTGACAATTATTGTTATGCAAAAAAAAACCACTAATCTGTCTAATTGTCATTGACAATACGAAAAATGCCTGCCTGTTACAAAACTATCACTGTCACTCTATGAAATAGGCCCCTGTTTGTTCAACTGGTATCCCTAATTGAGTCAGAAGATAGTATTATTTAAGTGATTTGTATTAAATTAAGATTTCAACTATTCGTAAGTCTAGTCGAGTACACAAACATTGCATATTTATGCTAGATTTCCACAAGGCATTAAATGGCGAAAATTGCAATGACAGAGTTTGGCCCTCCTACAGGGCATTTTTTAAATGGAAAACTTTTTTGTAATTTTAATGCATAGTGGAAATTCGGCTTTAGAATTTTGAATCGACCCTCAAAATCTTGTCTAGGTTCTTAACTTCGTAGTGAGACTCACGGAGTCCCCATGAAAGAGAAACATTTAAACAGTTTTACCATAAGGGCTAAAAAACTTGAAAATGCTTAAGTTAGTTTTTATTTTGAACCGAACCGAACCACATTTTGGAGTGGTTTTCACTTCGGTTTTGGAATTTCAAAATAAAAATGGTTCGGTCCGTGGTTCGGCTTAAAGTACGAAAAAGCGGCGGTTCGGTTCAAAACCGGTTTTCAGCTCTGCTTCAAAGGGACGCTTTGCAATTCAGCACATTCCGGATGCTATTCACTGCACTGCGCTTGGTAGGGTGGCCAGACGTCCTAATTTATCAGGACATGCCCTGATTTCAGGGCCAAATTAAAGTGTCCTGACTGATAATTAATTTATCCTGATTTTTACAAAGCTGACCTGAGTTTTATCCTTAGCATCCTACCTATTGTACTTAAAGAAGGTGTTGAGCTTTTGTCGGCGACCTTGAAAAAGATTTTCACAGCGTCGCACAGTGTTTCGACTATATGGAGGCAGGTACAAAAAAGTCATGGTGACAGTTGATAAAAAACACCAGTTGGACTTAGAGATGGAAAAGTAAAAGTCACAAATACCACATTTCACATTATTTACTCACTCCCCTTCTTCACGAACGATATATTTCCAAAGAAATACGGGAATCGGCGCGATACCGAGTAATCAGTTAAGTTGCCTTTGGCGATTAACCCATTAAAGAAAATGTTTCTTTTTCAACCATAATCCATTATTTAAATATCGTGGAATATTCAGGTGAAGGTATTTATCATTTATTTGGTACCTTCCTATTTTCTTACCAAAAAATTTGCTTTGAAATGTAGATGCTAAAGATTATTAGTAAAAAAAGTGTGAGTACCGGTCCGTCAGGTCTTGAAATTAGACAATTGTTTTAGATAATTTTATGTGATTTTAGAATATATAATTTGATATTTGCGCGCGACTTTGCAAATATATGTAATTTTTGATTTTCTAAATTTTTGATTTTCATCCTCTTTTTGCATAATTTCGCGAAAAGAATTTTTCGAACAATGAAAAAATCTCACCAAACATTGGAAAACAGCGAGTATTTACACCTAAGTCAATTTATAGTATAACCTTTGTTTTCTGAGAGTGAAAAGCAGGAAAAAAAATTTACCAAAATTCCATTACATTTAACGACTGGCCCACATTTTTTTGTGATTTTTGGACGTTATAGTGATGCAATCTTCCCCATATTTCATATTTAGGTTTTTCTAATAAAAAAGTGAGCACAAACTAAATTTCATCGAAATATGATGAAATTTAATGTTTCCGCCCACAAGAGTAGAAGGCGTGGCAATCATTCCGTCTTTACCAAATTTCATAATTCCCTATTTCTAAGTAAACCTAGAGCACATGTCAAGTTTCAGTGAAATTGTTGCAGGTTTACTATTATTTCCAACTGCCTCCATATAGTCGAAACACTGTGCGTCGCTTGCCTACATCCCACAACTTTCAACTGAGAACTCTCAATTCTTATCATTTCAAAACTCAAGTCTGATGGGAAATAAAGTGATTGTGTTAACTTTCAAAAATGCAGTGTCCTGATTTTTCCTTCGACTCATCTGGTCACCCTAGTGCTTGGCCGAAATCCGAGTCTGAAATCCATTCGTGCTTCGTCGGATATTTTCATAGGCTGTATTTCTTTATTCATTCTGAACGTTTGGAATAAACTTTTTTGTTTACTTATTCTTTAGAACGTTCCTGATGATATGTAAACGTATATTTCAATGGCATTCTGTTCATTCTGGTTGTGAAATGGGTTTATCCGGAATGTATAAAGAAACGCAGCCATAATGTTTCTCTGCCTAGAAATGTTTGTACCAAATTTTCAGGGAAAAAATCCCCAGCACAAACTACAAAGTTATTGAAACATGTTATACAAATGTAAGATAATACAACTCACTATTTATGTTCTGGTTTCACAAAAGATATGAAAAACATATGTTATATAAATATGGTGTTTCCGGGCTAATAAATCTAGGATCATTGAAAGAGGTCCTCTAGCCTCTAGCTAGAATCCTCTAGCTTTTGTGGAAAAAATTGGCAAAATTATTTTTTGTCCCGTATTCCGCTGCCATAAATATGGTCACCGTAAGTATAGTGTTGACTTCATATATCTCCATGCCAAGTTCCAGTACTCTACCAGAAATACTTCCAGAGGTATGCAGTATGAAAAATTCCTTTTGTATGGAGGTGCAACGTCGCTTTGGCTAATTGAGATAAAGGCTATCCTATAATTTAAGTTGGGCCAAATGACCAGAGTTCGAAATTTTTTAATGATAGGTTGAGTAGTTAAAGCGTCAGAGCGTAACAAACAAACCATTTAAGTTTATATTAGTAAGGATTATCCAGTACTGACCAATAAAAAAATATTTAGGGGTGAGCATTTTTTACATAGACCCAAATACACAAACATATAATATTACACCAGGACTTATGAATTTGTTTGCCTTTGGTTGGTTGTGCTCAATGAAAACCCATTATTAGGTAAAAAAAATAAAGCACTGATCAGGCGTCTTCTCAAGAAGATATTTCAGCAGTGACACGTAGTATATTGTCCTTTAAACTCGGATTCTTCTTCTGAAGAAGTAAAGAGGAATACTTTATACCCACAAATGTAACATAGTATGACCGCTCAACGACTACCACAAGAAAATTCTCGCTTTTTATAAACTACGCGAAATTCATTTACAGTTGTGAAGAGCTTCTTTTCTCGCATTTTGTAACTGGCACATTTGTTTAATACCTGTCATTTTATTCCTCAGAACCTACAAATAACGTCTGAAACCCCTAATCTTTAATATTGGCCGCTCAAGAAGTTATACCTAAATAAAAAGTAGATTTTGTGCGAGTTGCACTATAAATTCCATGATTTTCTCGATTTTAGTAAGTAAATTAGTTATTTAAACCGTTTGTTTTGTTATGAATAACTATTTACTCATATGTACACATATCAGTATTATCAACGAAGGCATAGAAATCGCACTTGGCAGTGCAGCTGCTTTGTGGCGGCAATAATATGCCAGTACGCAAAATGTCCCCGATATGTATATAAAAAAGATCTGTAAAAGATTTCCAGATATGTATAATATAATTTTTCACCATATGGTAGCTGGATTCTTATAAATTTTCCTCTGTATATTCGTGTGTGGTATATTATAATCGTAACTACGCCTAAATTTTACTTCCCCACATTTTTTCCGATGCCCGGGTAGACCCGGCTGGTAAAATATCCGGGTAACCGGGCTACCCTGGTCAAATGATCAGACCTAACAAATTCACTGTTTTACCCAGCGAGGCGAACTCCAAATCGACGCGAAAGTTATATGTAGAGGGGCCTTTATACTCATCGAAAGTACAAAAGTTACCCAAAGTAAGACCTCAGATTTGTAATCACAGTGACTTATATCAAGGCTATCGAAACTGTGGCCCGGCGGAGTGAGTGGTATCAACCTGATCCCTATGCTGTGCCAGTGGCACGCGTACTCCAGTTACCTGCCTTGCTTAATAAAATAAATCAGCTAGTATTTAGTACTAAAATTACGTTATACTACAATGTGAATCTCCTTCGATTAGGGCAAAAAATTAACTAAACTAAACATGTTTTTGATTGACTCTCCTTCAGTGCCTCCTACATTGCTTAGAAATTGTAAATATACTTACAAGTTTTCCACCATTTTATAATTTTTCCTGTTTTTTTTTTTGATTTTTCATGTGGCGCGGGCCCTCTTGTGACGCGGGCCTCTAGGCTAGCGCCTATGTAGCCTGTGCTCAAATACGACCCCGACTCATCAGGAGAATTTTCGGTTGGCACTGTAGTTTGTGCAACTCGGCAGCCGGGCGGGCAGAATTTTTCGCTTTAAAAAAGTTCGTTATTTTTACGGAATGCATTCGGTAGGTAGCAATTTTTGTTTTGGTAATTCACGGACATTGAAAATACATACACTTTTTCTCCCAAATAGGTAAATTAATTTTATCTCAAAATATGCATCAGTAATACCGCGTTCACGTTGAAACTTTAAATGATATTGAACATGCAAAACATGAACATGAAAGAAGCAATTCGAGTCCAATTAGTTTTACTCTTTCGTAAGCTTTGAACCCCCAAGATCCCTATCAACGTTCGCCCCTGCCTCGTGTTAACTGGCGGAACTCTGCAAAGGAGAAAGGCAATTAGCGAAGCTTTTTACTTGATTTTAACGTTTTATTTATTTAAATTTTTTTATTTTTTATTTATTTATTTAGTTTCAAACCTTTATGATGTTTGTACATATTTATCACAATGTAAACAAATCTATATACATATATTTATACACGTGTATGTACATATGTTGCTTATACATAAGAGTATGTGCCATATAAATTTTAACGATACATATTGGCAAAAATATGCATTACTTACTTATTAATTTGAAAATCTTATTTTCTAAGAACATCAATACAAATATTTACGCTTATACAGAAAAATAACTATCTAAATTGTATAAGTTTAGGTACAAAAAATGTTTAAATATTTGTTCGATAAGTTTAAAAACTAACAAAAAAATGTGTCGATGTTCTTTATATAGAAATTACCACCATAGTATCTCTCGAGTTTATTGAAAGAACCCAATATTGGCATTTTCAAGCCAACCATTCTGTAGAGGAGGAGGCGAAACTGTTGTTGCCTGTGGAGGCGTTTGCATTAACGTCATTGGTGTTTGCATGAGATCCATTTTGATTCTTTCGATCCGTTCCTTCTCAGAAATCGGATTCGGATGTTGTACCTGTGGCACTTGGACGATCGGCGCATTGTAAGCCGCTGGAGCGCATGCGCTGACATTATTAATGCGCTCAAAGCACCCTCCACTGGTGGTATTCCTTATAGTACCAAGGTAACTATTTGTAGTTGTGTAGCTTGTGCTACTATTGTTGTTATAGGCACTGAAATTGACACTGGAAGCCTCATAGCCAAATCCTAGATTTTCTTGTTGATTAAATACAACTTCATGCATTTGGCAATTTGTGGCAGTCTGAAGAGTGCTGCCCTGCAGCAAAGAGCACAATTGCTCTGTATTTGCGCCGTTGGTGGCCGGTGAGATCGGTGATGGCGTAGCATTGCGATTTTGTGGTGATAATGGCGACATCTGCGATAACGGCGATAATTGATACGCGTTGCGGTATGTATCAAACTGTTGGCCAATTGCCGCTGTACTTGTAGGCATTTCTAAAGCGGCTGCAGAAGAGAAAATAAACCAAAATACATATGTAAGTACGATTACTATATATGTTTGAGTATATTTCTGTATAAGCTATCTTTGCTGTATGACTAACCTGGTTCATCCTTGATAGTCGGATGCGCCGAAGGTGGAGAAAAAACAGGAAAATTGAAGGCGCTATCCATTGCTTTAAGAAAATTAAATTAACAGAAAAAACTCAATATGGGAAATAAAACAATAAATAAAGTATAGTAAAATAAAATAAGAACTAAAATAAAAGGAAATAAAATGAAAAGACCAACCATGCTAACTACCACAAAGTACAATATACATATGTATGTATTAATTATTTAAAAAAATCATAACCCTGCAAAAAATCGCGACGAGTACATATGTACAAGTGGGCATTAGCTATTATTATTATTGGAGATCAATTAGCCTCGACTCGTCTTTTACGGGACAATTAACGATTTAATGATATGTACGCACTTAGTCAACAAAAATTTATGTGCGACTTGGAATGTTGAGAAGGCAATCCCTTAACAAACCTGAGAACCCCGGTTTGAATAGCAGCTGACTCAAATTTGAATTTTTATTTTTTTTTGAAAGTGACTAGTCGTTTTATATAACGATCCATTATGAAAAGGGACAATTAATCTCTTCATAGGACATAGAAAGAGATCAAAAAAGTGGTATTAGTCGCTTGTTCCTTTGCTATTGCTCCCGGAGTCATCCCGGATTAGTCGCAATTTTTGCAGGGATAGTTGGGTTGTATATGTATTTATGTGCAATTGTATTAAATCAAAATTTATATTAACTAAAACTACATATGTATGTATGTATGCATATGAGCTATTCATATTTGGGTATATAAGTACATACATACATATGTACATCAAATATCAAATATCAATATCAAAAATATAAAATTTTGAGTTAACACACTTTTAAAGAATGTGAGGTATATGCAAATATGTGTGTATATGTGTATGTGTGCTCTGACACTTTAATATTAAAAGAAAATCAAGAATTACATGACACGCCAATAAAAATTTACTAATATGCTATATATGAACATACATATGTCATATATCTATTTACATGCAAATGTATATAACTACTATGTACAGCACAATGTAAATTAGCGAGTTAATTTTACAGCGAATAAGTATAATGAAGCACACCTAGATTAACACGGAAAATAAACTTACTGCGAAAACTAACGGTGAAATTAAAACTTAAATTCAATTGTATTTGGTCATCAATCAAATCATTATTATTTAATTACCCAACGTCTGTTTACACGTGTATATAAATACAGATGTACATATGTATGTACGTACATTTCTATTTCCTTATATGTATAAATATATTTCATAAAAACAACAATCAAGATAAGTCACTAATCACTGTGGATGTTCTGTTTTAAACATCAACAAGCAACTATTTCGATATACATATGTATGTACCTATATATGTATGTATGTATATTCGAGCGTAGAGTTAGGGTCCTTTATAATTAATTTGAATAAAATTTTATGGCTTTACTACATACTACCAGCGGGAAAAATAGAGCGCAAGTCTTTGACGTCTATGGTTATTCATATTTCTGTTTTAAATGCATCCATGCTAACTAAATTTTTCTGCATACACGGTAAATACTCTTCTCATTTACGTTAATTAAAACTGATATTGTTTATAGTATGGATATTCAGATATTAGCTGACTCGCTAGCATTATATAAGTCTGTTATTTTGCTCGCTCGCTGGTGCCCTCAAGTGCCCAATTTGAATTTCTTTGGCTGCTTCTCGGGCTATTGAGAGCCACTTTGAGAGAGTAATTTTTGCTTCTCATTAGCCCGAAGTCGCTTGTGGAAACTTTCAAACCGCCAGAAGAAGAGGAAGTGAAGTCAAAAAAACATTTTTTATGTAAATTTCATTAGAAATATCAAAATATAGCTATTAAAAATATATAGAAATTTACCTTATTAATACCACATTAACCGATTTCGATAATTCTTTTTCCGGTGCCTCAGAGGAGGTCCCATATTAATTTGGTTTAGATCCGATCATTGGATCATGAAGAAATTAACTAAGTACTTCTAAATTTGTATATGAGAATTGAAGTCGGTTGTGTTTTTTGCTTAAAAATTACTTGTTATTGTAACAATTGAGATGTACAGAGCCCTACAAAGGAATTTATATTGCATAAAGTTTATTATGAACTTATTGAAGAGTTCAAATACAAATTTTTTAGTTACCTTAATTGCATGCAAATTTTAAAATGCGACTTCGTCTTTACACCAAAATCGTATTTTTTTTATTATTTTTAACCGACTTCAAAAAAAGGAGGAGGTTATCTATTCGTCGGAATATTTTTTTATGTACGTATGTTACAGCATAACCGACTTCGATAATTCTTTTTTAAAGGAAAGGTGGTACCTCAGAGGTGGTCCCATCAGCCTTGCCAGGTTGACGTTTTTAACGTCATTTGGACGTTTTTTTATCCTGTTGACGTTTGGACGATTTTTGTGTAAAAAATTACGTTTTTCCCCTTCCCAGTAGTCTTTCTTTATGCAAAATATATTCAGTGTAAAGCGTACTATTTGCTTGTAGAGTAAGTACTTACGCTCACACTTTCGGCCATCTGTTACTAAATCTTGTAAGTAGAGCTGATTTTGAATTATTTTCTTAATAAATCCTTACAAGCTTTGCTTTTTGCAGCTGCTGGTTCGAAAGATATTTATTCTTTGGACACTGGTGACTTAAATATGATACGAACCAAGCGTACGCGCATTATTTTTTTAAATCTTGTACTAAGGATCCCGCGTTCAAAGGCTGCTTGTGTAAACGCTTAAGGTTACGAGGCTTATTGCGATGTTTGCAATTTCACATTAAAAGCCAACTCAGGAAGGCCTGATCTATTGCAACACGCACGCTCCCAAAAGCACCAAAAAAACTTGTAGCAGTATAAAAAGTCAGAAAAGAGTAGGCGAATTTTTTCAAGACTTCATTGAAAGTATAATGTATGCAAAAAAGGCTGAAATTTTGCTATGTTCCTTCTTAGCAGAGCGTAATTTAGCATTTTCGACAACCGACCACCTAACCAAATGTCTACAAGAGCGTTTCAGACTATGTTCAAACAGGACAATTAGCTGAGATAATTAAGCTTTAAATTGCGGCATTGAGTTTGGTGTTCACACATACGTCAGCTGCCCAATTAGCGATACGAAATCAGCTGTTGGGTTACCTACAGTGATGGAAAAGTTTATTTAGTTTGAAAGTACATTCGGTAAAAACAAACAATCTTAGGTACATTTGGAACGTAGCCAAATTGTTTCTTAGGAAATCAGTTCTTATTTTTACTGACATTGAAATGCGTTTTCTGGTGCGGGCAACTGGTCTAATAGCTTCCTTCCTTTGTGAAGAGCCATACAAATGATACAGAATGGTGGTCAAAGTAACGCAACTCTAGTTGATTTCGCCAGATAGACGGAACATATTTCTTAAAAACAAATCAAATCTAACAACTGGGAGGAAAGTGACTCACCTTTTCTACAACATAGTTTTGTCTCGCACTGCTCGAAGAGATTCTTTTCATAGCCAAAAATCTGTTTAATGTGAGTACCGAAGGTGATATGGCATCGATGGGAATTGTTATCCTACTATTTTTCTTTATATAGAAATACATATTCACTTTTTAGATACATCTATCTACTTTTAGGTAAAGTTTTCCGTAAATTAGGCACAATTTTATAATTCAATTTTCCATCCCTGATGGAATATCAGCTGTAAAACAGAACCAGAAACAAACAGCTGATTGCTCTTTGTTCAATAAACATACCTCCAAGTCAAAATTAAACATACCTAGCAGGGTGGCATAGAGAATCTGACACAAATAGATTGCCAATTAATTATTAATTGGCAATTAATAATTTGAATTTTTGTATGATAAATTGGGTAACAATTAAAGTCTAACAGGCCTATTCTGCGTTGGTAAGAAAAATTTTGTTACCGGTTAGTAAAGTTACTGTCAATTTTTAAACCCTTTTCGTATTCTCCACACTCTTGTAACCGGTAAATTTTGTTACCATCTCATGAGCAGGTAACAAAATATTGCCCCGTGAAATATGCAACACCAGAATTTCAACAAAACTCCATATCTGAATTGCTGAGTAAATTAAAACGTTACCAAGGTAAATAGAATTGCGATTGCAAGAAGTGGTGACAATTGTTGGTAACAAAATTAGCCTGTTACAAAATGTTCGGTTACAAGCAGAATAGGCCTGTAAATTGGTGAAAAGGTTCTTAATTGCAAACAGGCACGCACATACCCTACAAGAATTGTGTGATGGAAACTAACAAATTCTCATTTATCTTACCAACACATATGCAAATTTTGCGTTGGTTAAAAAGAAACCATAAAATAAGGCCATCAGTTGGAGGAAGACGGAAGAATTTGTACACAAATATTTACATCAGATTTTTCACACTGCCCTTTAGAATTTGATAGACACTTGTAGGTAGCCAGTGACAGAAATCTCTATCAGTCTTGCCACTCAAATGATTTGTCACTGTTCTTGCAGGGTAGTCTCAAGGATTCAAACACTACAGTTGGAATGAGTTGTTGCAGAACAAAAGCCACAGCGGTGGTAAAAAACGTACTTGGACGTCATCAGTTTAAGCAGGTATGCAAGTTATTGCAGAAAACAAATTTTCCCACTTCATAGACGAATCCATAGACTTAACCAATAAAAAACAATTAAGTTTAGTTGTAAGAGTTTGTATAAACAACGAAGAGTTCGATTAATTTTTCGGCCTTATATCAGTACCACCAACCATTAACCATACAAAACTTTTGGAAAATAATTTTCAATATAGAGCGAGCCGAACAGAGTTTGGCGTTTCAGGTTCTTTCAAGATTTGTACCACAAATAATGTGTTTACCAAATAGTTTCAAATCAAAGTAATCGTTTGATAATGAAATGCTAGTAGACATTTTAATTATACAGGATCTCATGAAATTAAATAAATGTTCGCGCTTTAACTTTAAGCCTAATAAGCGTTTGCTTGAGTTTTTTGAAATGTATTCATAAAATTTTTTCTAAGCTGCATATATGAATTTATATACATGTGTACATATGCATTATTTTGCATATGTATGTATGTACTTAGATTTAAAAATTAT